AGAGAGAGAGAGAGAGAGAGGGGGGGGAGTACATATTAGTATTCTGCAAACCTGGGACAAATCACACTTCATCTTATGGCCTGTGCTGTGCTGGGTTGTACCATCTGTGCTGCGTCATCTAATTCATCAACCAATGTAGACTCTACAAATACACCGTGTTTAACAACGGATGCGCAAATGTTTGCCAGGGCAGTGTTTGCTAGTTTGCTGCACACTTTTACACGCTACCGGAGAGTATAGGTCCGATTGAACGGAGATTTACAAAAACTCTAAACATAATCACTTTCACAAATTTAATCCCATGGGTTGGAGAAGAAAATTTGTACTTCTAATAAATATGCATAGAAGGGTTGGTTGGAGGACGGCCGGGGGGAGGGGGTATGCTTCTGTAGCTTAGAATCACAAAGTTTTATCTGACATTTTTGGCTATTTTGAGTTACTATGACCATGAGGTCGGCAACCAAATGTACTACCTGACTGCTCTGTCAAAACCACTTGCAAACACAATGATTGGTCTTCTTGGGTCAACCCGCATGTGGGCGTTCTTGGACTGATCCAGTGGCTTGATGACGCTGCCTTAGGCGGACAATGACAGAGTGTGACATTGCAAGCCTTCTGACTACTTCTCGGGCCTCAACTCCATCATGCAGCCATGTCATAGCCCCGAAACCTTCAAAGTCTCTCCGCTTTCGTCTTGGGGAATATTGATGTGATACCGGATTTTGCTTAAACGGCGGCTTATATTGTCACCAAAGTGAGCACAGTTCGAGACCGTACGTCCGTTTATGACGAGCACCAGAAATTCTAACTGAGGAATGTCCGTGGTGTCTCACACAAGTCGATATAAAACTGCAAATTTGACTAAAATTTCCCGAGGCTCAAGGAGGGTTTTGCAGTACGCATTGGTAACCCAATACACTTTTAGAGCAAAACATTTTGAAACATTCCTCGATGTCTTTTTTCGGATTTTTTAAAAATCAGAGCTGTCTGCCAAGGTGGTCCTTAACTTATTTTGAAGTCTGTATTACATGTATTATGGAGTTGTTATCAAGATGTCTAAAGAACTGCAAACGAAAAAGCTTGGCATGGTGTGAAACTCAACATTTTTAGCATCAAATTTCTCAAAACTATGTACTGAACTTTGTAATTCTAGAGTAGCGATTTTACTTTTATCAAAGGGTCACTCAAGATCACTAACCAACTACCCGCACCTCTGATAGGTGATATTGACTTAGGTTGTTTTCGGAGGAACGATTAATTCTATTGCTTCATAGTGCCACGACACGAGGGAATCAGGTGTTCGTCAATTTTCAAGCACGTGTAGTTATTGTGATAATTTTAAAGCATGTTCATTCGCCTTGCTATTGATGAGAGAACAGAACTGATATACCTTTAATAGAAGTTGAGGTATTTGCGATTGAAGAAGGAGGGGGCGTCGACTTATTCAGAAGTAAAATTGGCAGGAAAATGGCTGTAGAATATTTGGTGACTTAAGTGTCCATAAAGACTGTAAATTTACATTTGCTGTTCCTTTGACCAACGTTTTTCAGTAAAATTCACATCTAAATTGTTTAAGTGGATATGAAAGGTGTTGAGCGAAAAGCCAAGGGAAAAAATCGATTAGTTTCCCAACGTGTGGAAAAATGTCTGCATCTTCAACTTCATTGTTCTGACTAGCGTGCAATTTCCCCACAATGTCACACGTACATTGTATATCTACTTATGTCTATCTACACTTAGAAGTGGTAAATATGCAGCCCATGCGAGTGACACAATTTTGGGTTTTAGTTAACCATGCGTTAACCTTCAATGCAGGACTAAAGGTAACGCGCTTTTAGCCAGGAACAGGGTTGGGTTGATTTAAATCAAGTTGATTTAAATCAGTTGATTTTTTGGATTTAAATCAACTTGATTTTTTAAATAAAAATCAGTGATTTAAATCACTTTTTTTTTAAATTTATTTTTATTCAGCCTTTCCTTGGTTTCATAAAACACATATAAGGTTTAGTAGACTAATCATGCTTAAAAGTCTGCTTTCCCCCCTTTCACTGTAAAATAATACAGTATTC